AAAGTTGGTTAGATGTTATTCTGTGTTAACAAATATATAAAACAAACAGAAAAAAAAAGGATATGTTATAAGTTTGTGAGTTTAAGGTAGATAGATAAAGTTATTAGATTTGGTGTTTATTGACAAGATATGTAAAAACTGCAAAAGTAGATGGGTTGTAGGTGGCTTTGTTAAATTTAACTAAAAATTTGCGATGTTTTAATATTCTTGTGAAAAAAGAAACGACTCTACAAGAGGCTGAGATCTCCAGAGATCCGAAACCATACTCTAAGAAAAAATATATGGATACGTAAAATAGAATGTGGTATAAGAAAGGATGAAAAAGTAATGATCTAGTTAAGCATATATATGTTAGTTTGCTGTATATTATGAATTATGTAAATCATGAATGTGTTGTTTGTGTGAGTCCATTTCAAATAGGTAAAGAAATAATAAATAAGACTTACTCACAATCAATTTAATTTAACTATCAGACGACCGGTTTCGCTTTCTATAATATGCAAAGCATCATCAGGTCTCGATACAAAGTTAAACAAATGCTGAAATAATAAAAACCCATATTAGGGTGTTGTCTAATAACGATAAACAACGTAGATGTCGTAAATTACAATAATTATGCCAATATTACATGTCTGTGGTTTTATTTAAATGAGTAAGTTGAATAAAAGGTATAAAAGTTTTAAAAGTTTAAACAGACAAGGTAAGGCCCACAAATTGTTATAAAATATTCTCTTCGATTGTAATAAATTAATGTTAATAATAAATGAAATGAGCAAATAAATAAAATAAACATTACTTACATGCCGGTACTCTATTAATTGATGGATGGTAGAACATGGTTGAAACTACTATGTATTGTTGAATGGAGAACTCAATTCTATTATTGCAGTTGTTTGACAGTAAACGGGAAGTTCTTGAGGAGATAGATTTGATCCAATGAAGAAGAGATATGTGTGTGATTGTTTATTAAAAAAAAGTGATGTAATATACTATTGTGTTATTAAAAGGTATTTATACTTATTCGAGAGATATATTTTTGAAATGTGTGTTATTTATTGAGTAATTGTTTTATGAAGGTGACAGTTTTATGACAATGAATAAATTTAGATGTAAAAATTGTGTGAGTGTGCAATTATTTTCCAACTTGTAGTTATCAAATTACTTTGATAAAGTTCTATTGGCAATTAGTGAATTATTGGATATTGAACTTCCCGTTTACTGTCAAACAACTGCAATAATAGAATTGAGTTCTCCATTCAACAATACATAGTAGTTTCAACCATGTTCTACCATCCATCAATTAATAGAGTACCGGCATGTAAGTAATGTTTATTTTATTTATTTGCTCATTTCATTTATTATTAACATTAATTTATTACAATCGAAAAGACTATTTTATAATAATTTGTGGGTCTTACCTTGTCTGTTTAAACTTTTAAAACTTTTATACCTTTTATTCAACTTACTCATTTAAATAAAACCACAGACATGTAATATTGGCATAATTATTGTAATTTACAACACCTACTTTGTTTATCGTTATTAGACAACACCCTAATATGAGTTTTTATTATTTCAGCATTTGTTTAACTTTGTATCGAGACCTGAGGATGCTTTGCATATTGTAGAAAGCGAAACCGGTCATCTGATAGTTAAATTAAATTGATTGTGAGTAAGTCTTATTTATTATTTCTTTACCTATTTGTGAATTATGTGTTTCTTACCGAGTGAAAAAATGAATGGTGTGTAATTATATTAATTCATGTAGGAGGTGATTTATTGATTTAATAATATGTTACTAAGGAGTTATGATTGATAAGCGAACAGCCTAGCATCTGTATGGAGCAAGGGAGCACTTCATCGCTGAACGGCGAAAGGAGGAAAAATTCACCATGTGTTGCGAGAAGGAAACAGTCACGGGTCTTCACAATCAGTATAGGTCGCTTTTTAAAACATAATGACAGAAAACGATCCCGCGGGTGAAAGATTTATAGAAAACATAAGGATCGTCAATAGTTTGTTCTCCTTTTACTCTATGTGAGCAAACTTTCTATTTCTCCTTGTTACGGACCAAACTGCTTTCGAATCCACGGTCAGACTTACCATTTGATAGGCATGGTTCATTTGTATGACGGCCAGAATCAGAGATTTGCTTAGCTCTAGATCTTAGATCCTACAATTGAAGAGAGACTCTAATCGGCTAAAAATTGAAAGTGTGTCCCCAACGTAATGGAGTGACTTGTTAACTACTTTGAACAAAACAACGGCTTTGTGAGTGCCTACAAAATGCTCCGAGATGTAGGACGAGAAGCACAAGAGGAAGCTGTGCAGAATGACAAACAAGTTCTAGAAATTATAATGGCCATCAAAAAAATTTAATCAGACCGGATCTTCGTGACCTTTTAGTTCCAAGAACTTTTATAATCAATATCCTTAACAAAAACCTGGAGTATTCAATTTTTTATCCTAACGAAGAAGCTGGATGGAGCGAGGATACGCAACAAATTGAAGGAGCATGAACACATTTTCCTTTTCCTTTTCGGTTGTTCCAAAGTTCAGTTAAAGGGTGTTGAAAGTGGAGGACTACAACATTATGCAGCAAGCAGTAGGAGCGGGGCTCGACCAGTGGTTGGATGGGCCGTCATAATATCTCTTCCCTCTTCATTTGAAGAAAGCTATCGGAATATGCAGCAGCGTTTTCAATATGTCATAGCTATTCTCAAATTACTGAAATAATTATTTTTTAAGTAATTTTTAGTAATATTTCTTTTATTAAAGAAGGTCAGCAAAATAATAGTTGACCTATTCAACAATCAGGTTGACCTGCTATATCTCTATTTTTTATAGAAGTTTAGAAAGTAAAGTACGAGTAAATAAAGGAGAATAAAATTTTAAAATTTAAAAAATATGTATTTACAAAATTTTATCGGTTTTTAAATAAAATTAAATTTAAAAATTTCTGGATTACTAAGCCCACAAAACTGTTTCTTAATCTTTCGAGAAATAGAAAAATACCTTATGTTCAATTACATTGCTAAAACTAATTTTATTAGTTTAACAGCCGGTTTCCGAAAGGCTGATCATTATCAAAATTAGGTAATCTACTGTTAACAGTCGATTAAATGCATTTTGAGTTGCACATTAACTAATCTAACAAACAAATAATCGATGATTAACAGCCTGTCAGAAGTATTTTGGGTTTCCGAAACGCTAATTATCGTTTTATCTATGTCAAACAACTGTCATACTAGCTTGTCAGGTAATCTGAGATTTTTGGACGATTAATCTTATAATCTTTGGTTATGTATCAATGATTGTAAGTAAATAAAATAAAATCTTTGGTTACGTTGTAAATACATAAACCTAAGGTGTTTTATAAAAAGCTGTTGTTTAGAAAGAACTCAAAAATATTGTTACAAAGGTAAACAATTTACTAATACCTCAATATAAGGTTGAATGTTCGAATAATTAAACTTTGAGGGTGTACAAGGCAACTATCGAACACATGTTCACATTCTGTCTCCGGCTTCTTCACAATATGTAGCTTCTCCATATAAATTTTAAAGTGTTTGTTTGTCTTAGTGTAGTGTATTTTGTATTGTTATGTCCAGATTTTACATTTATGACATTCTACTATGTCGGATAGGCCACAATTGACGAAATGCCCCTGAAGATGATCTATTGATCGAAAGTACTTGGGCAAGATTAAATTAATCACCGTGTTCGATAGTTGCCTTGTACACCCTCAAAGTTTAATTTACTAATATTTAATATTAAATATGATGATGATTGATAAATGACAAATTAGCAAACATTAACAAACGACACAAAATTAATAGTTAAGTTATGTTTGTTTGTTGATTTTCAGAATGCAGATTACACATAAACAGAAATGACGGTAGAGTGAAACAGCAACATTATTTTCTTAATTTAGAGCAAGATAAAGAACAATTCGTACAGAAATAATAAACGATTATAATCGATTCTACAGTTTCCATGTAAAATCGTATGTCAAATAATCTATAATCGGTGATCACCTAATTTTACCATAATTTTCGTTTCGGAAACCTGTCGCTTGTTAACAGTTGATCAAATTTGACACTTGATTACATGATTGGAGATTTGAATAACATTTCGGAAACCGGCCGTAAGTCTATGCAATTTTACTTAATATTTTGACCCCAATAAGCAGAAAACACATCTGTCGTTATTTCTGATTTCATAGTCTTTTTCCCTTTTTGTTTTCCATTACGTTTACGTAAAGGGTTGTCGAGTTACTGATGATGGTAATTACGTTTACTTCTATTGTTCATAAGTATTTTTGTATTAAAAAAAAAATTGTTTAAAATCCTTTATAAAAGGTATATAAAAATGCCCCAAACGGGCTATCACAAACACATTGCAAAACGTTTTCGGATTAAACAATCCATCATCAGTGCAAACGGTTGTACATGCTAGTAGCCACCAAATTATATGGGTCAAAACCCTTTAAATGTTTCAAATTTGTAGTTGTTTTACATTATTAGTATTTATAATTTGTGATGTTTAAGTTACCGTTGAATAGGTAACATGGCGTAAAACAACTACAAATTTAAAACATTTAAAGGGTTTTGACACATATATTTTGGTGGCTACTAGCATGTACAACCGTTTGCACTGATGATGGATTGTTTAATCCGAAAACGTTTTGCAATGTGTTTGTGATAGCCCGTTTGGGGCATTTTTATATACCTTTTATAAAGGATTTTAAACAAAATTTTTTGTAATATATGGTATACAACCAGCTACAGGAACTTAGTTTCCTCGTGGAATTTTATTTTTGTATTATCTTGTATATATGAGTGTATTTTATTTTTTGCTACTTCTTTTGCCAAGTTCTGTCATACTATCATAGATTTTTTATAAATATTTATAAATAATTTTTGGATTTTGATTAGTGTTTTTTATTTTATATCAGTATATTATATTTTTATAAATTGTTTCTGCATATTATTTTTTAGATTTTATGCATGAATAAATACAGAATCCTCCAGTTAACGCTTAAAGCCACAACAAGTCAATTTAAGGATAAAATGGAAAAACCAGTGTGCAAAAATACAAAGTGTACAGCTTTCCTATGTAATGAAGAAGGATCCTGCAAAGATGACAATACATCATCTACATATCTTCAACAAATACATTATTACAACATTATTCTCTCATCTACCGAGATCTTGTTGTTTGTCGGAAATAAACAAGAATTAATGGATATTTTATTACCGGTAATCATACTGCAGCCTGATTGGTCCAACAGTCTGGAAAGGAGACATGTAGGTAGAATTATAAATGTTACCAACAAAATTATACCAATTTGTGTTCTACTTTTTATTTTCTTTATTTTTTGTTTCGATTTATACTTATGTATTTGTTTGTTATACAACATTACACAACAGTATACAACATATTATAACAAATCGTCGGTATAGTGCTAAAATCAGGCAAATGACAAATTTGAAAATATTGAGTTAAGTATAAAAAAATTCACAGCTTTTTCGCTCTACATACAGATAAAACCCAATAAATGATACGACTTACCATTCATCAGATAATATGTGTAATAAACAAATAAGTTACACCTAACCAATTTTTCATTTTCAAATAAAACAATATATCGCTTCTTACTTTCATAAAATTAAAGTTATGTTGCATGTAAAACAAATTAAGTCCATATATATTATCCTTCCGGACAACAGTATATTTCTACTACTGCATACCATATTTAGTACAAAGGTGATAAGTGTCTTTAATACATTTTACTTGAGTATGATTTATTAAAATTTCTCTTTCATATCGACTAGTAAAAACCTTTAAGTAAACTTCCTTTATTCTACCTGAAAACGGGTTGAATTAAAATTTAGAAATGATTACTAAGCTAAAACCATAAGTGATCTTAATAGTGTTTATAATATAATTTATCTGCTAATAAATTAAGTTAATAATATAAGATTATGCTAACATTAAGCAGACAATTAAATAAAATTGCTTGTCTTCTATATTTGTGACTAGGAAGAAAGTTTTGAAATACTATGTTAATAGGTATTAATTCGTTACTTGTTGTGCAATATCTTGGGTTCTTTACGAGTCCTTGGAAACTGAAGACAGCAGTTCAATTCTTGATAATTCTCAGAACAATATAGTCTCAATGATGGAATCCATTTTTGATAGTGACTTTTCAGATGTAGACCCCACATATCAGCTAAGTGAAAAGGCATCACTCGCTCTAGGAAGCTTATTGAATGACAAACAGCTGACCTTGATAGCCTAAATAATAAAGAAAAGACTGAAATAGGTGCACCCACGAACAATTAAGTGTCAACTGAGATATCTAATTGGATATTAAATCTACTTCTTGGCTAAGTACGTCCACTAAAAGTTGAAGAAAAACTAACTCTATAAATTGGGTAATAAATGTCGCAAAAATGGGTCGTGCTGAGGGTTTGCCTTATGAGATAAAAAAAGAATAGACCACCAAAATTGCCAAAACCATTTAATTGTTCAGATTGCTTTTACAAATGTGCCAGTTATTTCAGCGAAGATTACAGACAAAGACCATGTCGTGATTATTGGAAGTTAGAATATATAGGCCAGAAAAATTTTCTTATTGCACGTATTAAAACGAAGCCGTCCATTTTCCAAAAAAATTTTCTTTTCTTTGAATGGTCAAGACATACAGGTATGTGAGAAATTTTTTTAAGACCCTTTGTATATCAGCGTCGTTAATACAAGATATTGTAAGAAAAACTGACATTCTAGGCTGTTATGCAGATACGGATAAAAGAGGCAAGCATACACCGCCAAATAAAACAAGCAGTGAAACCCAAAAAATCGTGAAGGCTCATATTGAGTCTTTGCCAACATTGGGCCCACATTTTATTCGCCCAAAGTTCAAAGCGTAGATATCTGGACAAATTTAAGTGTAAAGAAAATGTATTAACTTTATATAAATGCCTGTGAGCAGAAGAAACTGGAAGGTGTTACCGAAATAACATATCGAAGAATATTTTCTAACGAATATAATTTAAGCTTTTTTGTTTCTAAAAAAAGATCAATATTTAGTTTGTTATAAATATCATAGGGCTAATCCAACTGACCTAATTTAATCGGATTTAAGAAAGTTACAAAGAACATCAGAAAATAAAAGAAGTACGTAATCTTGAAAACAAAATGATAAGAAAAGATCTAATGAACAAAGGGGTTTTTTTTCAATTACTACTAGTACAGTTTACTAGTACTATTACAGCTGTTAGTAAAATTTTCAGGGAAACCAGTTAAATGTCATACATATCGACTAATACCTAAAACATTGCTATTACCTAGTAAAAGTCTCATATCTCGATCACAAAACTGAAAAATATTATACATGGTTTAATATATTTGTGTTTAGTACGCTATTTGAACAGTAACTGATTTATTTAGATTTACAGATAAAACCAGGTAAGTAATAGATAGCACTTCCAACTTAAATTTAGGATTAGTCAGATACGTATCTCAACTTTTTCAAACTAACGATAGAATATCATTTCAGATATATGTATCTTTCACTAGAATACCTGATATCAAAAACAAGCTGACTGCTTAATTCACAATAAAAAACTAAACTGTAAAAACGTTTTTTCTCGAATTCGGTATTCGGACATTTACCTGGTTTTCGCAGTATACAGATGAAGACATCACGATCGGAATCAAACACGATGAAATAAATCAATTTAGACAAGTTTAGTTAGAATAATTGAAATATTGAAGGATGACAGCCGATTGTGACGATATCGATACCAAATCGTATGTCAGATAATTTTCTACGATTTTTACGATTTCTACGAATCGATTTTCTACGATTATGTAATTTTAAGATAATTAACGTTTCAGAAACTTGTCGCTGGTTAACAGTTGATTAAATCTGACAGCTCGGTTAGATGATCAGAGATTTGAATAACGTTTCGGAAACCGGGTGTTATTTTGACTTTTTATGAGTCAAAAAAACAAAAGGCATAAATATAATGATTTATTTATCAAAGCTAGAAAAAGGCAATATTTTTAACAAAATACAAAAAGGAATAAAACATAAAATATAAAGTTTGGTACATCTACATAAATAAGCATAATTCTGAAACAGCAGGTAGAATAATAATAAAAATTACTCAGATTCGGGAACTTCGTCGCGTTCACACTCTGTGCAAATGGTGATTGTATGTTCTTTACAAATTGCTTTGAAACACTTGGCGCATTTTGACGCTGTTTCCGATTTTTTTTCTTGGTGCAATAGGAGCATTTTGGCCTTGCACCTGCTTGATTTTCCTCAGGAACATCTCGTTTCTGTGTCAAAGGAAGATTCAGATATTTTTTAATTTGCAAAGTTAGCAGAAATGGCAAGTTTTGGGCCGCTCTTTTTTGCATATGTGGGGCAATGAGTTGTCTGCCTAAAATTTTCAGATACTCACGTCTTGGTTGGCAGGAATCTAATACATTTGTCCTAAATATAATAGTAAACACAGTCAATGGCCACCTACATGTGATTCTTGCCACTGAATAAAGACTCTTCAGTTGGTCCACTAAATCTACTCTTGATTTTGTTTGATTGTAAAAAGTAACTACTGCTGGTTTACAAGCTTCACCACTTTCCTCGTCAATTTCGTCATATTGATTGAGGGTTGACAAAAGCAGGACATTCTTATTTTTTTTGGACGTACGAAACTAATAAACATTCACGACCAAAAGCAAATAAACTGCTACGAATTGGCCTTTCTTTAGTTGCAACAAATATTTCAGGAATTTCACGTTTGTCTTTTCTAATTGTCCCAACTAAAGTTATTTTTTTCTTTTTTAATTCTTTGGCCAAAGGAACTGACGTGAACTAGTTATCATAGGTTAAATTTCGTCCTGAATTCATAATGGGTTCACATAATCCTTTCACAATACTTGCTGGACTGTTGTCAATACAAAATGGACCATCAGGCTGCTTTCCTGCGTAAATCTCCATTTTCACAGTATAAAATACACGACTTTCAGCCAAGGCAAATATTTTATCCCGTATTTGTTTGGTTTACTCGGGATATATTGCCTGAAGCTGCACGTTCCACATAAACCATCTAGCATTTCGTCAATAGTACAGTTCTCACCAGGCATGTAGCAGGTTTGGCATCTTTCTATAAATTTCTCAAATATATTTCTTATTGGAGCTATCTTATCAATTAATTTGCGTTCAGCTTTTGTGTGAATATTATCAAAACGTAGTGCTCGAAGCAACAAATAGAAAGTTTTCAGGGGCATTACCATTTTGAATAACTCTGGTGCTGTAGAATCGTTGCTTCATAGGTCATTTAGGTTGATGTGTCGGGATTTCAAAACTCCTGCCATGTACAACAATCCAAACACTGCTTTTATTTCGTCACAGTCAGTAAAACATCTCGTTCGCGTGTATAGTTGCCTCTAATTTTCTCTAGGTACAAATTTGTACACGTCACAATTTCTTCAATGATCCTTTGCCGCATGTTTCACTTCCGGTAGTTTGCTAATAATATTGTGCTGTCGAACACGGCTAGTTTTTCGCTCACGGGTGAACTTTTCAAATGGTTTTTTTGACTCTGCCGATATATTTGGGACCATCTTCAGACCAAAACATTGAAATAGTATTTGTAGTATCACCGGCCGAAAACTCTGAGTCTGTCTCATGATTAAAACTGACTTCTACAGGATCTATGTCGCTTTCTTTATCGTCCAAATTTTGCTCTTGCGTCTGTTCAAGTAACAAATCCTCTTGCTCCAATTCTTCATATATTTTTAATAGTCTGGCCTCTTCTTTAGGATCCATTACACAATAATATTTTAAAGTTATATGATTTAAAACACAAAGTCAATAAAAAAAAAACCAACAAAAATTGCTCTGTAGCTTTCCAAAATCATCACGTCGTTAGTCGTGGGTGAGCTAATCGCCCATTTCTCGACATCTGCGTTTAATCAATACTTGGAATAGACTGACGTTTGCTGGATCACAATTCTGCGTAAAAAGTTATATGTGAGCAGTTGCCAATGTAAGTAAAATTGTGAAAAATGTTAAGAATAAAGTGCACCATGCGACCAACGCAGGGTTAAGAAGAAACCTTGGCAAATGCGCATAAAAATGACGAACACTGCTTTGGCCTGTGATCACGTTTAAACGATTTCATCAACATACGATACTGTCATGATAAGAACATATTAGTTGGATGATTCTGTAGGTTGTCACAATTGGTAAGGAAGGTTTATCATACAAAGCTTTCATTTTAGAAGTCACAATATTTTCAACTTTACTAAAACTAATAGGCTTATTTGTCCCTAAGGCGATGTTATATTGTTCATTATAACAGCAGGAGAGAACGTTCTCGTACGTCGGAAGCTTATTCACAGACAAGTCTTTCGGTGGACCAAATAGTGGACACTCAAACTCGCTTCGATTTAACTTCTTAAACACAGACATAACTTAGCACATAGTTAACTACGTTAAAACACGGTGATACTCATTTTTGGAACATCAATACAACACAGCCACTGTACTGTACATTAGAGCACGAACTGGCAATGCATTGTGGGCGGCGTTGGAAGAAGGTGGGTAGTAGGGATACTAGGGGAAATGTGTGGAACGCAAGGTCATCACTGCCGCCACCCATACACAATACGACGCGAACATAACACCCAACACAACATGCTAGACCACACCTTCTTTTAAGAACTTTAAACAATGACGACTCCATAATCATACTACCAGCAGACAAGGGGAATGCAACTGTGATAATGGATAAAATTCAATACGAAAATAAAATTAAAGATCTATTAATAAACGGACCTTATACAAAATTAACAAAAGATCCAACAAAGTCTTTGGAAAACAAAATATATAGAACTTTATTCAAGTTTAAAGATGTTTTAACAAGTTATCAGAGAGGATTAATTACACCTCATTACAGTAAGACTCCTCATTTTTATGGAGTATCAAAAATTCATAAAACGGATATACCACTTAGACCCATTTGTAGTACCATGAATTCTCCTTGTAGTGAACTATCAAAATTTTTATTAAATATTTTAAAACCATTTACAAATAAAAATGACACATTCATAAAAAATACACAACATTTTTTAAATAAATTATCAAATATTGAATTTAATTCAAATCATACTTTGGTAAGTTTTGACATAAATAGTTTATTTACGAATGTGCCAATAAATAAGACTTTAAGTATAGTCAAGACAAAATTAGAGAGTGATGATTCATTGGCAACTAGAACAAGACTAAACATATCGGCTATAATGGAGTTATTAACATTATGTACTGATAATACATATTTTCAACTAAATAATGAATTCTATAAACAAAATTTTGGTCTAGCAATGGGCTCTAGTTTATCTCCATTCTTAGCCGATATATTTATGGAAAATTTTGAAACAAATATCATTTCTAAACAAAATTTCAAACCCACAGTATGGTGGAGGTATGTAGATGATGTATTCTCAATATGGCCTCATGGATCAGAGTTGTTGGACACATTCCTAAATGATATAAACGGTAAAGAAGAGACAATAACATTTACCATGGAAAAGGAATATAATAACACGCTACCTTTCCTGGATGTTTTAATCTCTAAGAACGATACTGGATATGAGACTCAGGTGTATAGAAAACCAACACACACCAACAGATATTTAAATTTCAAATCAAATCACAATATTAATGTAAAAAAGGGAATAATTAAATCCTTATACGATAGAGCCAAAATTATTTGTTCTAATGAAAATTCGTTCTTGGAGGAGAAACATTTGTTAACATCTGTTTTATTAAAAAATGATTATCCTTTATCGTTTATAAATAAGGAATTTTCAACAATCGATCGAATAGAACAGAACAACTTAGAACGAGATCCTACAGCATACACAAGGAATAATATGAGGAAAATAACAATACCGTACATAAAAGGACTATCAGAAAAACTTAAAAGGATAGGAAATAAATTCAACATTTCAACAACATTCAAAACGACAAACACGTTGAGATCTATTTTGTCCAAAACCAAACCTAACAATGAACAAGAAAGGACAAAGAATTGCATTTATAAAATACCTTGTGAATGCGATCAGTTTTATTTAGGTGAATCATCAAGGCCAATTAAATGTTAGAATAAGTGAACATCAATCTTATATTAAAAATAAAGAATTTGATAGATCTCAAATCTGTAAACACGCATGGGATAATGAACATAGGGTTCAATGGAATAATTCAAATGTAGTCCTAAAAGAAACGGATGGTAAAAAAAGAAAAATCAAAGAAGCGGCTCTAATTATGCTAAATGAGGCCAATTGTGTCGCAAATTCTTCGGCAGAATGTAGTAGGATCTGGTTACCAATATTGAAAGAGGAAGTTATTAATAAGAAAATACCAGTATTAGTAAGTCAGTAACATATAGAGGATACATCATTTATGTTTTTTAAATAACGTAACATAAAATCAGAATTTTGATGTTTGTTGAAGGTAAACTAAATTCACGAACAAATACTTACAATGTCGGGATAGTATTATGAGGTTTTTTTCCTGGTTTTCCCTCACAATTTACTATGGAATCACTAACAGGAGAATTTTACTGTCATCATTTTATGTGTTTGTCTTTTTAAAGACGAATTACATGCTATGATTTTTTTCTGACGGATATTCTCAAGTTAAAGTTGATTTCATGTAATCGAATGAACTATCTTATAAGTAAAGTCGTCCCAGGAGCGCAACTCAACAATATTGGCAATATCATTTTAAAGTCGTCTACTTTAAAATGCATAATGTATGTCTGAATTGTCAATATAAATGAGTCAGATAAAATTAAATTATTAGAAGAATTTTTCACTATGTAACAAAAAACAAAATTTGTTTAATTTACTGTTTGTATTTTGAGAACGATTTCCGAAGTGGAAATTGAAACGTCAATAAACGTATTTTTATCTTTAATTGTGGCTTATTCCCAGTTTACTAGTAATTAATTTACAATGCCACAAGAAAATTGCTTCAGAACAATACCTTCTTTTAAGGTGCAAATATGTGAATTTTATTATTTTTTGAGTATTTTGCGCTGCTGCAAATTAAAAGGTATTGTCTGTTTCAAATTTATTTCTTACTTTTTAAATTATTAACTTAACAATTTTCACTATAGCACGTTCAAATATTATTGGCTAAAGATAGTAAAAATAATTTAAAAATGTCTTGATTTCTGAAAAAATTAAATTTTATTGTTTTTCGACCCACCCTTATATTTAGTATTTTTGTAAAAATTAATGGGGATACCTAATACTGACATTTTAGAAGTTTGTTGGGGTGGTCATACTAAAGTCGACTGGAAATTTAGATAGGAAGATATTAATTATTACGTTTTACCTACATTGAAAAACTCTGTATTTAGATATTTGCTATAAAATGTTGTGCTATCAATTATTTCCAAATGAACTATAGTTGTAATATTAATATATATTATATTACCGAATTATGGATTTTACTTTTTTATGTTTTGTTGGTTTACTTATTTTCTTATTTTTGGTTTCTTTAATATTTTAGTCTTATTAATATTTTAGCTTTATTCGTTCCTTTTTTAACACCTCCACTGCATCCTCCACCTTTTTTACGATTCTTTTTAACTAATTTAATCTTATTTTCGTCAATTATGTATTTTACTAGTTTTGTTTATAAATATCTATCTATTTAACTTTGTGTTTTAGGTGTGGAACCAAATACGACCACCGTGGTACGAGGCTATTTTAAATTTTGCCTCGCCAATTATACCGCTCGCCACAGATACCGTTATAAACGCCATTCAAACTGGAGCAACTATGTATCAAGCAATGTCCCTCATTTTGGCGTGCTTTAGTCATTTCTGGGATTGCGTGAATCCTGCTCTCTACAGAATATCCTCTATATTACAAGAGTCGATACTGACGGATATTGTTCCACTGAACAACTCGACTTTAATACAAATTCTGGTCTGCGCTTTATACAGGTTAGATAAATATCATATATTTTTAAGATAGCAGACACTCTTTTCTCCGAAAAAATTTAACTGATATTAAAAAGGCCCAATTCTATTATTGTTTATTAAAAGTAGCAAAAAACTTTTTTTTTGTTTTGTTTTTTGTTTTATGAAAAAATTCTTATCATTATCATTTTTTGTCGGAACGGTAACTTTTTTTCAATTGGAATAATGTAATTGTCTATTAAACCATAGCTTTTGATTACAAACACATTTTACAAATTTGCTATCTGATGGTAGAATCTGACGTTTTAGACTATGCACAACGTTTTATAAGAAATAACTTCTTTTCGTAAAATTATTATTAAAAAATTTTCCCATATGATGCTGACTTAATTTAACATATATATATATATATATATATATATATATATATATATATATATATATAATATATATATATATATATATATATATATATATTATATATATATATAGGATGGTGGTATTATTGACTGTTGATTTAAATATAAGTTATGATTTTTGAGGATGCAGTCAATCTATTTGGCCCACAAGACAAAGAAAACTCTTTGACTTGAAGGAGAGATATTTTACCTGAACTTTCGATTGGAATAATGTAATTGTCTATTAAACCATAGCTTTTGATTACAAACACATTTTACAAATTTGCTATCTGATGGTAGAATCTGACGTTTTAGACTATGCACAACGTTTTATAAGAAATAACTTCTTTTCGTAAAATTATTATTAAAAAATTTTCCCATATGATGCTGACTTAATTTAACATATATATATATATATATATATATATATATATATATATATATATATATATATATATATATATATATATATATATATATATATAAGATGGTGGTATTATTGACTGTTGATTTAAATATAAGTTATGATTTTTGAGGATGCAGTCAATCTATTTGGCCCACAAGACAAAGAAAACTCTTTGACTTATTGTCAAGCTTTTGAATTTTATTTAATTCTTTTTCAAGACATCTATAACAAAGAAATATAAAAATTAACTAGTTAAAATTGTTAATTGTCTTACTTACTAGTCGTGAGATTACAGTTATTATTGTACTTTATTTTTGAAGAGGCCCTAAAAGATATTGATGAAGGCATCTCAATAAATGGAGACAAGCTTAATAACCTGCGGTATGCAGATGATACAATAGTGTTTTCCAATACCATAGAAGTGCTGCAGAACTTAATGAACAAAATAACAGAATCAAGTAGAACCTATGGACTGGATATAAACACGAGCAAAACCAAGCTAATGATCATCAGCAAGCAAAACATAACTGGAGCAAATCTGTATGTGAACCAAATGAGAATTGAACGTGTCTCACAATACAATTACTTGGGAACTATAATCAATGAGTCGTGGGACAACACCCAAGAGATTAAATGTCGCATCGGAAAGGCCAAAAGTGCATTCTTGGCTATGAGCTCTGTGTTCAAAAGCCATGACCTCACCCTGAAAACAAAAATAAGGCTCTTTAAATGTTACGTGTACTCAGTGCTTCTGTATGGAGTAGAAACGTGGACATTGAAGGCGGAAACTCTATCAAAACTTCAGGCGTTTGAATTATGGTTATACAGAAGAATCCTGAAGATACCATGGACAGACAAAGTCACCAATGAAGAAGTACTGCGGAGGATGAACACAACCGCGGATTTGGTTAACATTGTGAAGAGCCGTAAGCTGGAGTACTTGGGACATATAATGAGAAATCAAGGCAGATACAAGCTACTCCAATGCATTTTGCAGGGTAAAATTGAAGGAAAAAGAGCCCCACGACGAAGAAGAATATCCTGGCTTGCTAACCTGAGAGCATGGTATAGAAAGACCTCAACACAGCTATTTCGTATAGCGACCAACAAAATCATCATAGCCAGAATGATCGCCAACGTTCGGAACGGACAGGCACCTTAAGAAGAAGAAGAATTGTACTTTATAAAACAAACCATTATATAAATATATTAAAAATAACTATATTGTCACTATATATGTCATTGTCATGTTGGTTTGATTGATGGACATATATGAATGAATATACAGTTACTTTACGTGGAAAGCAAAACCAGTAACGATAGTTTTTATTATTATTTATTGAATTGTCTATAAAAAATATAAAAAATATAAATTAATCCAGTCAGTTTGGCTTAAGCACATATGAATTTTTTAATGTTAGAATGTCGATAGAAAATGAGATAATGACGGTATTTATTGATATGTTAATGTGTAACAATAAATGTTACTTAATTTGTCAATATCTGATTTTCTATTTACACATTTTTTATTTTTCTGTATATGTGTCATTGCTAAAAATAACCGCTTCTGGTCATGTTTCTGCCTCTCTAGAATTGAAGACTGTGAAAAATTAAATGTGCGATTTAGATTGGTGGAGTGTTCAGCTAATGCACAAGCTTGTGATTTCTTAGTTTTTACATCACTTTTGTGAGAAATAATTCTGCTGTGTAATGTTCGAGAAGTTTCTTTTTTTTTTAAAAGAAGTAGTCACATTGGGTTTTTTGATTAACCTTGGGTAAACCTTTGCGTTTTAAGTTCAAAACTACCATACATTTCCAACGTTAACAAATAAACTTTTTTGCACATAGTAACAAAAAAACACCACTATGTTGTTACTAGCTAAAGATTTTTAACATCATAACTCGACATTTCTAAAATTTACGGTAAGGTAAATGTTTTTTATTAGATAATATATGGTAGCTAATTATAATTTATTCTCTTTCAGCCCTGAAGAAGCCAAATTAATTCTCTTTGGCGAAAACGTTAGGCGAAACAATTGATACACATTAGAGTTTTCTTGCAGATTTCCCCAATATTTAAGAGTTTACTATTTAACTTATCTGCAAAGATTAAATTTCTTTTCTATATATATATATATATATATATATATATATATATATATATATATATATATATATATATATATATATATATATACAGTGTAGGAAAAATTTTATGGTCGGTATGGACCTTACGTGAGATGGAGTGAGAAACAGCTGTTTAAAAAGAGAGAGGTATATTAGGTACGCCCTTTATATCGCCGAATGGAAATATTAAAAAAGGGGAAATTCAACGTTGCCAAACTTATTGGTTTTATTTGACCTGTTGTCTTTTTTTGCATTTGAACAATGTTCTATCAAGAAGATAAAATGCTCAAGATAATCAAATTTGGGCGAAATTGATTTAAATGGTAGGTTACTGTTTTTTTTATTGGGAATATGCCACAAGTTTTCTTTACAATAATTGTAATATAACATTTTGATTTCCATTTCGGAAATCGTTTTATATAAATAAAATTTATTAATGTTTCGTATTTTAAGTACGATTTCCGAACTAAAAATCTAAACATCAAAATAATTTCCCAATATGAAATAATAAACATTTAAACATGCATACAATAACGCCAAATTAAAAAATATTCATACACTAATTTATTTGGCAACGTCTAGTCTAGTCTAGTCTGGTCAAAAGATCGAGTAACGAGAAGTAGAGGTGGGTCGTGCTAGTTTATCATTAAGAGCGTAGGAGCAAAATTTCTGTTAAAATGTTATTTCTTTAAACGGCCGTAAAATTTGGGAAAGTTGAGAACAAATAATCCAGTGTTCTTTATTTAGATTAGGTTTAAGTCTAAGTCTGTATTATTTAATACCAATGTGGAACGGGTTGCCTCTTCTAACTCGGTCATTCTTTTTAACATGTAATAGGTGAAGTTCTACCTATATTCCACGTCTTGGATTGGCCGTTTGGGAACTGTGTTCTGTTGTAATTAATACTTTAAAAGCCTTTCTGAAGATAAGGTACTTTTTTGAAATGTTTTTTTTTGCAGAATTGTCGAAAAAAGGACTTTTTATTTTATCTATTTGTACACGACAGCATTTAAGTGCGTCCCCCACCAATAAATTTAATCATCATCATAAATCACAGTCATCATAAAACAAAACATATTTAATAGCTTTGACCATATTTTAGGAATTATCAGTTACTGCAAAATTTACTTTTCGTTTTAGACCCGACTGATTAATAATTTCAGTAATCGCTGTTTTCTGGATTATGGTTTCCAGAAAAATGGCAGCAGCCTAATAAAAAAGTTTTGAATACTAAATTTTCGGTTAAATATTGTCCTGTTAATGCGAAGTAACTCTCAGTTACTCCAGATGTCCAGAGGTCAGTAGTAATACAGATATTTTCTACTTCTTTAACAACTTGCGATCTAATAATTTGCTCACTTTTGACATAACATTCCTGAAGTAATGAACCTGACAAAGTTTTTCTTGTTGGCGGTTTATATCCAGGAATCCATCCTGCAAACTTTTTAAAAGCTGGTTCTTTAACTATGGAAAACGGATGAAACGAAAAGTTTAGTAAATCTTGAAAATCAATCAGTCCAAGAAAAAGAAACTGATAAAGATGACTTAAGTCCATGGTGTATTTTTGATGAATTAATTGGACATGACTCATCTAAACATACACCTGTATCGAGAGGTATAAAAGAAGTCGACATGTAATTGTCTGATGATATATTACCCACAAACAATTTCGAACGGAGATTGGAACTGTCCATTACCGTGGTGAAAAAACCATCGCCATGTATATCGTAACTTAACCACTATATTCATAAAATGTTGTAGTATTGTAACAAAATCTTTTCCTTATGAACACATGTTTAACATCTGGTATAATTTTAAATAAAAGAAGAACGCGATTAACAAGAAAAGTGGAAAAACTAATGTTTTTAAATGTCAATTTAGACGATTCGCGATTTAATAATGTGTAATGTAAATGTAACTATTTAAGTACCATTTGTATTATTTAATTTATTTTTCAAGTTACAATAAATATATCCTTCGTTAGGTTCTTTTATTTCAATACTTATACACATAAACGATAATAGCTAATATGTTTGTGTACTCGCTAATTTGAATACTGGTAAACAATCAACTAGTTACAGTTTACGAAAAACGGTTCCGATAAAAATTAAAAAAACGAGAAGACCCACCTCTAGTTTTTTAGGTATATTAGGATCGGAACCAGAGAATATCTGATCGGAACTAATCGTCTCACTAATGGGCAATGGCCAATGAGTGTTAAAAGGATTTTAGGAGGGGAGACGAAGGGGAAATATGATTGTTATCTTTGTCTAATTCGTTGAAAATATGATTTTATATCTGCGTTAGATATCCTGTTAAATTTTACCATACCGACCTTAAAATTTTACCTACACTGTATATATATATATAGTGTGTATATAACGACGCTAAGAATACAATTCTTTGGAGGGTAACTTTTTAGGTGCTGATGAAGGTTTTTTTTTTTTGTTTAATAAAACTCCAACAGGAATCTTATGACTATTGCTATCTGATCATTCACTATGATCAATAAGCAAGTTAGTTCTATATATAAATATTACAAGAAACTTATCTAAGGTTATATTCAGCAATATTCCTTAGGCTCTAATACATTATAGTACTACTAGCTAACGTGTACACTTTAGCCGCACTTTACTCTGCTTTTTCACTTTCACTCACTTATAGCACTAAATCAAACGGCTTCGTTCTCTTTAGTCTTCTTATCTGGTTGGCGTTGTCTAGGAGTTTGATGGCCTCGACGTTCACGTGGTTGGAGAGCCTCTGTTCATGACTCTCGGCAAACTTACTTATTGTCTGGATAACTGTATCCATCTGGAGGTCTCGATGAAGATCACAGTTTCTAAAGTACCATGGAGCGTTAACGATGTTCCTTAATACTTTGATGATGAAGGTGACAACATATCACCGAAAATTTCACATTTAGAATAAAGTTCTACACCAAACTGGCTTATACCATCTCTAGCTGATCCTTGTTTTGACGCTTTCCCGAAAGTTACCCTCCAACGAAGTATATATATATATATATATATATAATATATATATATATATATATATATATATATATTAGGAAAAAATGTCTATTTCTACAATATAATTTTGATTTTTTTAGCCATTTGCTAAAGAAATCACAAGAGGTTAAAAAAGAAGTACGAATAGATGAAAACACAGAAGCAACAAATTCTAGACAACAATCTGTTGTGAGCGTAGGTACAGACAACGCAAACAGTTCTCCCGAAGCTATAGCCCTAGCTACAGCTGAATGTTTATGTAGCATAGATGAAGATAATAAACATACTAATCAAATTGAAGAATTCTTGGAGCAGATTAAATACAACAGTAAAGTTACGGAAGGGGAAGGAAGTATATCTACTAGGTTGGAAGCTAACCAACATCTTGCGGAAGTAGTGGTCAGTGAAATTTTGGGTGCACCCACTGGTAGAAATAGTTTAAAGGTTAGTAATTCTAATTTTAATTTAAAAACCTGTTACTTTTATAAAGCTGAGAATTTTGCATTCAACTTCTCTTTCGAAAGGTGCTAGTTAGCAATATTTTAACTTTAGACACTGCCTCTTTCAAAGATATAATTGATACCATTTCCGCAGATTTCTCAGCCAAACAATTATATTTCAAATTACAGGAAATATGCCCTCAGGACCCACAGTTTTCTTTTCGTGCCTCTGGTGGATTCTTCAATTAAAGCATTGAATGCAATATAATAATGTTCTTTAAATGTTATTTTAGAGGTCTACTAGCATTAATAATAATGTTATATAGCGTTACTAATAACAGAGACTTTTTAAGTACTCTGTTAGTAAATTCAATCGATATGGGATCGCAGAAAAGTAATTATAAACCTCTTGTACCATATCCAAAAAACAAGAAATTTCCCCACTTGATCTGGCAACATCAATAACGACCAAATTTAATGTATGAGCTGCACAAGGCACATATAATACTCTACGATTTATATCAAGAATCCGTTTTTGAAGCCCTATAGTTTTCCTTTTTATGTTCTATCCATTCTCGTAACGCTGACGATCTTTAACTTCAAACTGCAGACTATGTAATAGTTTATTCACTGCTGAATAACATTCCATTCATTTATAAATAAATTTTTTCGCGAAACATTAAAACATAACATCTTCTTCATGTGCCGCGCTCAATTATCGAGCGTTGGCTATTAAATTGGCTATAGTAATTTTGTTGACGGCAGCTCGGAAAAGAGATGCAGAGTATTATTAAATGTATTATTAAATGGAGTATATTATATCTCTCTGGGTGACGCATAACATGGCCAAAATATTCAAGTTTGCAATTTTTAACTGTTTTGACTCCGATACACCCAGATTTCAAAGGCTTCCAGTTTCTTGAGAAGTGTATCCGTCAAAGTCCAACCTTCGACACCATACAAAAGAGTAGAGAACACATAACATCTCACTAATCTAATTTTCATCATCATCATCATCATTATTCCTCAACCTCTTCATCCACTGTTGAATATAAGTCTCCTCCATGTTCCAAATGTATCCAATTTCCGACTGTTTTTCTCAAGTCGTCCATCCATCTTTTTGGTGGTCTACCTCGGTGTCTTTTGTCTTCTCTAGGTCTCCATTCTATAAGTCTTTTGGTCTACCTATTATCATTTAAACGTGCTATATGTCCAGCCCATCTCCATTTGGCTTGTGCAATTTTTTCTATGACATCTGTCACTTTAGTCCTCTCTCTCACTATCCTATTTGGTACCATATCTCTTCTAGTTATTCCCAACATTGCTCTTTCCATTTTCCTTTTGGTTACTTTCAATTTATTTGCAGAATGCTTGGTTAAAGTTATTGTTTCGGAACCATATGTTATTACTGGCAGTATGCATTGGTTGTAAACCTTTTTCTTCAAGCAAATCGGTAGCGTTCCTTTTAGAATATCTCGCATCTTGCCAAATGCTGCCCATCCCAAGCCTATGCGACGCTGGATCTCACAAGTTTGATTATCTAATCTAATTTTCAGACTTAAAGTAATATTGTTTTCACATAACAGTTTCTTCATCTTAAATAATGCAGCTCATTTAGATTACAACCAAAATAAGTGATACTGTTAGTTGACTCCAGTTGTTGACCATAAGCTGTTACCACTTCCGGTTGTATTGGCGTTTTACTGACAACCATGACCTTTGTCTTTGCGGTGTTTAGATTAAAGCCATATTCATCACACGTTGTGGTAATCCTATTAATTAGATCTTGAAGTTATTCGTAATTGCTTGCAATTAACACTGTGTCATCCGCATATCTCAAATTATTAATATTGACGCCATTCATTTTTATGCCACATTGAACATTATTGAAAACGAACTCAGAATAGATGTTAAATAGTAGCGGGGATAAAATGCAGCCCTGCCTTACTCCTCTTCGTATTTGAAGCTCTTCAGAAGTGTCCCGGCCAATCCTGATGTTTGCACGTTGATGCCAGTAAAGGTTTTTAATAATGCGTAGGTCTTTATCATAAATACCTACCTGCTGATTTCAGTATGTTTTACTCGATCAAAGGCCTTCTCAAAGTCAATAAAACACATATAAACTAGATGTCCGACATCTCTGCATCTCTGTACTATAACCTGAATACTAAATAGTGCTTCTCCTGTTACAAGGTTATTGCGGAATCCAAACTGTGTGTCACCAAGTTGTTGTTCTATTTTTTGGTACATCCTAGAGTGTAAAATTCGTAGAAATATCTTTAAAACAGGACTCATCAAGCTGATGGTTTGGTAGTCACTACATCTTTTTGCATTTGATACCTTTTAGGTATCGTCACAAAAGTCAACAGCCACCAATCCGTTGGTATGTAGCAGTTTTATAAATTTTATTAAACAGATGAAGGAGAGATATTTTACCTCAACTTTAGAAGAGCTTTATTATTTCACTCGGTATTTCATCTGGTTCCGTCGCTTTTCGGGTCTTGGCTAATCGTATTGCTTGTTCAATTTCGTCCATAGTTATGTCAGGTCCTGTAACTACTTCGTTAATTTCAAGCTCGGGCCTTTCATCATTAAACAGTTCCTCAATATACTCTTTTCATTTGTCTATTTTATGCAAATTAGTGATAATCAGTTTTCCGTCTCTATTAACGATGTTATTTGCCTGTTTTTTTTTTGTTCTGACCTGTCAGTTCTTTTATTTTTTTATACATGTTAAATGAATAATGTTTTTCCTGTAACTCTTCAATTTCTAAACATTTGTTTTGCTGCTCTTATTTTAGTCCTTATCTCTTTATTAATTACTTTATACATTATAAATTAATGAAAGAGAGATATGTCCATAAATAATACAATATACAGTTCTGTTGATTAGTGAATGAAAAATCATTTAAAACACGTTTTTACTAACTTTTTTGATGATTTTTCCTCACACTTATTCCGATTGTTTGAAAAGTATTATTATTTTTTATTTTATGTTGAATCAAAGTAAATGAACATATTAAAATGAATAATATGGTTTCTCCAATTCTATCTTTTATGTACTGGTCGTATTAAAAATGCCGATGCTGCATCTCTTTAACTTTGGCGAAATTATTTTTAACTTTCTTTTACAAAGCATTATTATAAAATTTGTCCATTATTATACATTGGTTGTTATATTGTTAAAACTTCTATTATATCTCTTAACAACTCACTTCTTTTTTTAATATGTAAGTTTCATCTTTTTACTTTTCGCTCATGTAAGATGTAACTCAACCCTCTGATTAACCTGGATAGATAATTTTTATTGCCTGCAAAATTTTATTACCTATAAAACATTTAGAGGACACATTGTGTCTACTATTGTCAATAGTATATTACATAACGAGAGTTGTAAGAAGCTTATTACATGCGAGTAAAAAAGTTGCGCGCGAGCGCAGTAAATTTACAAGCATGTAACAAGCTTACAACTCAAATTGTGTAGTATACTTTTTCTACGATTATTTTCGTTTCTAAAAATAAAAATTAAATTACCACTATATTTACACTGACAGATTATAAATTTTTAATCTGTCAAAATAACGTCTGTTAATTCGTTTCCATGGTAACTCGACCAACTGACTTACGAGGCTTATGTGATATTACACATTTTTTATAAAACTGAAGCGTAATTTTTTTATTACGTGCTAGTCATTACGTGTCAGGATCTGTTATGATGCATTTACTTACCATCCAAATAGTAGGTAATATACAATTTACTAGTAAGAGAGTAGAAAAAATTAATTATTAATAGACTTAGGCAAATATGCAAATTGCATATTTTGCATATAATGCATAAAAAATGTAAAAATTTCAAATTTTGCATATTTTTATAAAAGTGAGCATAAAGTGCATATAATTTGAAAATTTGGTGTTACTTATATATTTTTATATTCAAACTTACAAAGAGCTATCTACGGATATGGATATACATAGACAGTTTATTATTCTGACAAAACCGTAAGTACATACGTATTATTTTTTATTTTATTTGAAAAATTTACACGGTGGTACAACATTTGTTATACTCCTTAGTTATCCACAACACAAAAGCTGAAATTGGTAATAGACTTTTACATATGTGTGGATGAGACCACTGACTTGCCAGGAAGATACATTGTGCACTTATTGATCGGTGTACTTTGCGATCAAACCTTTAGAAAATCGTATTTAATTTTCTGTACGCAAGTGGAAAAAACCAATTGCTCCAACAATATCACGGTTTCTACAAGAAGCATTAGCAAACTTTTTTCTTCCTGCTGCTGTGCCTAATGATAAATTACTGCTTATTTAATTTGATGCCGCACCATATATGGTGAAAGCAGGACAAAATTTAAAAATATTTTATCCAAACTTAATACATGTCACTTTACATGTCACAGTTTAACACGTTGGCGAACATGGTTGGAAGCAGATAATTTCTATGCTGATCATTTTGTTGAAAAAAAAAACCTTTTAACGGATGATAATTGCCAATCTTTATTTGAAGCTAACCAAGCCTTCCACATATATATCCTCAATTATCAACCGTCTTTCATTAAATCAAATTATAGTTTTATTCAGAAAACTATAACAATTGGAATCCTTCAAATTATCATTGTTAAAGAGTACAGTTTTTATAAAATAATTTGAGTCATTGTGTCTAAACTTTAAAGGTACTATTGGAAAGGTAATTTTTCAAAAATTTATAGTAACCATGGGAAAAAATAGTGGTTACCATGTTCTTTCTGAAATGGTTCAAGTACTAGCTGGAAAATTTTCCGAACCGCTTAATTTAATCATCTATTATAGTAAAAATAAAAAATACAGACGAGAGTAGAACGAAGCAAACTTATTAAACGAGAACGATATGCAGCCACCGATGTCCTGCTTCAAAAACAAACGGAATACCAAAAAGAGCTAAGCACAAGACTTAAATCAATAGAGACACTGAAACAAATGGATATAAACGGACTAGCCACTAAA